TTTTTGTCATAATTTTATCCATTATTTTATGTAAATTTCTGTATGTTTCGCACATGTTTTATGCCGAGATAAGAGCTGGCCAAATATGGCTGTTCAAATGTATTTGTGACTTTACAAACATAACGCAAATTAAGCTGGGCTATGTAAAAAAAGTATTGAATATTACATGGCATATGAAATGGCATTTTGCATAGTTTTCTGTGTTCCTGCCAAAGCATTTCGAATGCATTTATTCTACGGGAAATTTTAAATTATTGTTAACAGCTTTCAATCGAATTGGCAGCTTAGTTGCATAGCTCTCATCGTTTCTTTTATAATAAAATTGATTTGTGCTTGGGAATAAATGAACTGTGGGGCAGCCAAGTGCTGCGGCTATTGAGAAATGTTTCAAATGCAATGCACAGAGCTGAACTGAATGGAAGACAAACAAGGTAGAGGACACATGATAGCCTTTGAATAATGCAGCATGCTTGACTCTCTCACTCCCACTCTGCTTCGCTCCCTCGCTCGCTCTCTCTCTCTCTTTCTCTTTGAGCGCACTCGTAAATACTTTGCAATGAAAATGCATTCGAGTTGCCCAACTGCATGCGCTTTATTGGAAAATATCAAAAATTATTTTTTATTCGATTGGAGCCTGGACTCGCTCGCTGTCCTTCCGTTTGTCTGAATAGCAATGCTTTGGCTGATAAGAATATCCTTGCAATTTCACTTGATGTTGCATAAATATTTACGTTTATGCATTTATGCACACACACGCACACGCACGCACACAAATACACAACAACCAAATGCCAGTGCATAAATGTAAACTGATATACATATACATACACATATACATAAATATGACATACATATACACATATATTATGTATTTATATATATTTCTGTAAATGCGCGTGTGTATACGTTCGCCTGCTTAGGTTAGAGTTTAGGACTAGTTGCTTAGAGCTCGTAGTACTTACAATTTAGTTGCATTCTCTTACCATGGCTGCCTGTCTGAAGCTTTTCGACTTGCTTTCATGATTCTTTTCTTACTTACAGATAAGTTAGCAGATAAAATCAACTACAATTACAATATGCACTCGATTTGGTTTTTTTTTTTTTTTTTTTTGGTTTTAATATTTCCTGCATATTTTTTGTTCGATTTAGCTTTTCTATAATCTGTTTTTTATTTTTTATATACGTTTGTTGGCTGTATT